CTGGAGACACATTTGGGTCTTTGTATCACGTTCTGATCTTTTGGTTAGGTCATTAGGTAATGACTCTGGAATTATCATGAGAACAAAAAAAGCAAGGTTTAGGACATTTGGAACCAAATATAGTGTTTAAGGTATAAGTAAGGATTGAAGAGAAAAATGATTGCATGACTTTGGAATTTCTAATAAAAGCAGCCAATCGAATCAACTTCATTTTATTCACTCTGACTTTTAAACTGATGAGAAATAAGTTCTAGAATCCCTGGAAATGTTTGACACTGGTATGTGTGACAGTTTTACTTGTTCTTTACCCTGCAGGAATATGAAAAAGATGAACTGTTAAGTGATGTTGAGCAGAAAGTGAACTTAGATGTGTGTATTGACGTGAAAATCACAAGTTGTGTTGGAAGATGAATGGTCTTGGGCACTCTGCAGTTCTAATACATGCAGACATTAAGGGCTGGGCCAGTCCCCAGCTCTAGGAGAGGAATAATGGAAACCAAATTTTGAAATGTTCTAAGAAATAAGAGTTGAGTCGGTCCTCAAAAACTGTGGTGGTGTGGGAAGGGTGGTCTTTTGGGGCTCAAAATTGAATGACCTTAAACTAAAATGTTTTAATAAAATATGAAAACCAGCCAAAAGAAAAGGTTTTCTGATTATATCCATGAACACAACACCCTTAGCAGCAGATGTGATATGTGTACAGGGGAATGGGAAAGTAAACATGCACCCTGTACCCTTTTCCTCCACCGTCAGGGATTCCCAGAAAACAAGGTTTCATTTCAGTAGATCCTTGACTGTTGTTTATAATCCAGGATGCCCCATGGAGGCACAAGTGGCAGAGTCACTGATTGTTTATTCTCAGGAATTGGGCCTTTATGAGCAATTTAAGTCACAATGAAAGCTTTCTCTTAATGCTGAAGTCTGATAATGGCCTCTCCTTACCTGAAATTCTATTAACTTGGGATGCATTGTGGTGAGTGGATTTATTTTTTTAAATGCAAATACCAAGGATAGGATTAAATTTATGTGCTTTCTTCATAATTCTTAAATGAGACTGATGTGCTGAAGGACTAGATAGATGTTTGAGGTTTGGAGTTCCCCAAGAGTTAGGAAAAGCTGCTCTTTTTCTCAAGCCCTGTGTGTCTTCCCCCTCTTTATGGTTGCTTTTTTCTGGCCAGTCTTAGCAGCTGCTGTCTGCTGTGGAGGTCATAAACTCATGCCACATGGGAGTGCCACAGGCCACCTTACTTGTTATTCTTGCCCCAGCCCCTTTCCCACTTCAGAGAAGTCTGAGTCATGCCTCTCAGTCTTTGTTCCCACCCTAAGGCCTGACACTGTACAGGAGACATCAGGGTTTCTGCACAAGGTTCCTCTCCTCTTCTAACTACCCACCCACTGTTGTGGCTACGTCGTGGATCGTGTCATAGGGAGACAGAGCAGCCTAGTGGTTAGAAACAGCTTTTGGAGTCAGACAGACCTGCCATCGGATCTCTACTGCACCACTTATTTCCTGCTTGACACTGGAGCATGTTTCTTTCTCTCTAAGCCTCAATGTTGTCAGCTATAAATGGGTGAATTTCTTTCGCCCCAGAGAGTCTCTTCACTGCATTTGAAGTGCTTGGTATGGGTTAAGCACTCAATAAATGGTAGCAGTTGACAGAGCTGTGACTAAAACTCCATTGACATTTTAAACTCAAATATCTCTCTGATCACCCCACTCATCTGTTCCCCAGCTTGCCACTTCTGTTCTGCAACTTCACTCAATCCCATGGTCCAAGAAACTTTCTCCATGTGAAAAATAGCTGTCTGCTGCCCTGGGGTCACATGCTTCAAAATTCATAACTTTAGAGTCTGTATTTACTTCCAGATTTCTCAGGAGGATCCCAAGAACTAGCCCACCCATGGGTTAAGGAGGGTGGGTCTGTTATAGGAGGGGAGCTGGGCCAAGACAGGAGGAGATACTGTAGAGGAAAGATGGGCAGAGGCAGGCTGAAGGTCGAGCTCCGTCCTCTCTCAGAAGGTGCCGTTTCTGCATCTGTTACTTTATGTAAACTGCTAGAGCAGATATTTTGGGAAATGGCTTTTCCAAGGTCTAGGGTAACCATTGCTTTGATTGGCTTTTCATGAATTGTCCGCAATACAAATACTTGTCACAATCATAATTTGTATTGACACTCCGTGCATCATGGATAGAAGAAGGAGGGAGGTGCTGAGTTCTTGTTCTCATTGGTCCTTATGTATAGGGAAGAAATTTAGATTAAATGACTCATCCAAGGTCAAACATATAATAGCAGTGGAAGCAACATACCAAATGTCTACCTTTTAAAACTGTCTGGCATCTCTCCCCACCCCTGCTGCTCTAGCAACATCCTCCTCCTCCCACCATCCTACCTCTCAGAGGATGCCCCCTAGCCTAGCCCACTATCAACCAGCATTGTCAGCAGTGTCCTACTTTAGACCCCACATCAGGCCTTCAGAGCCCTCTTCCAGAATTTTCCCTTTTAGAAAGAGGTGGGGTAACTCTTCCCTTAGTCTTTTCCTCAGCAAGCCTTTTCCTTCCCACCTCCTCGCCCCTCAGTGTTCCTTCTCCAATAGCATATTTACTTATTGGTTTGTTCCCCACCATTAGAAGGTAACCCACATGAGGACAGGGACTTGCTCATTGTCTTTCTTGTAGTATCCTCTGGCTTTTTTTGTGCTTTGTACACATCAGGCATTCACATATTTCATATTGTTGAAAGAATGGATGACACATTGTATCGGTCAGGAGCTGTAAGAATGTGATCCCAGAGCCAAATGGTGCAGGGCATCTCCCCATGCCCCTCCTCCCTCTGCCATAGCCTGCCAAGAGGCTGAGGGAGGAGGAGGAAGAGATTGTGCGCCTGGGGACCCAGCGAGGCTACTCCTCCCGCATTTGTACTGTGTTGCTTCAGGACACCCTCATTCTGTCCTAAGCTGGTTAAAGTTGAGTTTCTGTCATGTGTGTGGTCTCACTAGTGCCAGCCCACAGCTGTATCCAGCTGTTTAGAGCCTGTTGAAGGCAATGGGGCACACTGGCTCAGGACATAGACACTTGAGTCATGTGACCAATCTGCCACATTTAATTTGTGTCCCCTTGACAAAGTTTTATAACTTTAATGTGCTTGGTGCTTATTGTCTATATAATGGGAATGACCTCATGTAGTTTGTTCCCAGGATTAAATGAGATAATCCATGTGAAATCTTTAGCATACATGAAGTACATAGTGTTCAGTTAAAGCTGGCTGTTGTTATGTACAATATTAAATAAGTGCTATTTATTCATGTCACATGTCTCTAGGTTGCTAGATCTGCTTCTTCTGTGTCCCTCACCGTGCCCCATCTGACACAGATCATTGATGGGGAGCAGCAGCTTTGAAGGGGGTGTGAATGGAACCCCAGGAGGTCTGGGTAGGAGTTCAGCCTGTAATTCTGATTTTTCACTGTAGAAGGAGGATGCTTTGGTGTGAGATTTCTATGAGTGAGTCTGTTTGTTTTAGTTTGCTCCTGATGCTTTCCACAGGGGAAAATAATTCAGAGGGATTAAGTGTCACCACTGGGAACTTGCCTGACTCTCCTTCCCCAGGAAGCAGAACTCTGACCAGTGGGGCTGGAAAAGGGCAGCATCTGAAATGTATGCTAGGAAGTGAGTGGTCCAAGGTCGAGTCTTATTTTTGGCTGCTTCAAGGGACAGGACTGGGCCAGTTGGATAGGCAGTTGGGTCAGGTTTTAGTTCCTTGTAAAAGGCAACGGAAACCTCTAACCTTCACCACCTCCCCAAGGCAGTGCACCGAGTGCTGGCAGTGAGTGGGCCCCCTCAGCCATGCACCTACCAATTGGAAAAATTGCGAACTCAATAAATAAAGTAATTTTTTTTTGTAAGGAATCTGTGTAAGCCAATGAAATATGAAATGCCTTCCATGAAAAAAACTTGAACATGATAAAAGTTGCAAAAAGTTTTTGTCATTGTTGTCAAATTTGGTATGGGCAGCACAACTGTAAAAGATTAGGGGGAAATGTCAATGTCTGGAAGGTCTCTGCTCAAGTTGCTTTGCAAGTGGCAAGTTCTTGCTCTCCTTTAAAGACAAAAAATAGGAAATCGTAGAGAACACCTTGTAGCTGGGGTTAATGCAAGCAAGCAAACAGGGACCAGCAATGTCAGAGAACAACATTAGCCAGTACTTAAAATAAAATGTTTGTGGCATATGGTATTTTTAGTATATATATTGTTATGATTATATATTAATAGTATACATGAACATAGTATTGGGTATATTTAAAATAAATTCCTATTTTTAAAATAAATTCCTATTTTAATAGACTACTCTATCAACCAGCCAACTACTAATATGGATCAGGTGAGGATTTCTACTGTGTTGACAAAGGAGTTGTCAATAGGTTTTTGTTGACACTTACTAGACTGGTCTGTCAGCTTTATTTCGTAAGACTAGAAATAGAACATACAGTGATGTTAATAATTATGTCAATAACACTGTTACCAAAATAACCTGTATCTTTGGATTCCATTTCCAATGGAATATCTTCTTATAGTCAAATTGACCTTTCAGATTTTTAATGACATGGCTTTTACTGTCTCTGAATACTGTGTGGACATAATTGGAATTGTGGGTTGCTCTGGTTTAGCCAGAGCTCAAAGACAGCCAGGGTTGATGTGAGCCAGAGTCCAGATGAGGGGAGCGGAGAGCAGGAGTGGGAGGTTAGGTGGGAAGTAGGAACGCCCATTTGAACCTTGGGCCTTGCTGTTTGGTTGAAACATTTTGAATTGTAGGTATCAGGCACCTGGGTCCAAAGATGAGAACAAAGGCAGATATTTTTAAAGCATGTTGACTTTTTAACTTCATATGACTTCAGATGTGTCCAGTTAACTGTTACCTTCTACTCAAATTGATGGTTGAGAATTTATTGTACTAATGCAGTAGTAACCCACAACCTAAAAATGTCTGGTTCTCTTGTTTTCACAGGTATTGGGGCGATGTTTCTTGACCGTGGTGCAGGTTCATTTCCAGTTTTTGACCCAGGCATTACAGAAGGTCCAGCCTGTGGCTCACTCTTGCTTTGCCGAGGTGGTTGTGCCAGAAAAAAAGAACAGCAACAGTGGTGGCGGCTTATCTGGCATGAGCCACACACCCGAACTGGAGGAAGCTGTGCGATCCTGGCGAGGAGCTGCTGAGGTAGCTGTGACTCGGGGGGAGATTGCTGCCCTGCGTTCAAACATGAGAGGCTCCCGAGGGCCTTTGCCTGTTGGTTCTTAAAAGAGCCTTTTTATTTAGAAATGTGTGTTTTAAACTGTTATCAGTAGCTCGTTCATTTATTTAACAGTGAATGTCTTTGTAAATGCCAATTTTGTGCCAGGCACGCACCAGGCACTGGGGTGACAGCCTGTATTCACAGCCTTCTCGGAGAAAGGACTTAGAAAAAATGGTTAAGGGGCTCTGATGGAGGTTTGCGGGAGCCCAGAGGAAGAGGCCTGCTTCCAACCATGACCAGTGCAGCAAAGCTTCTAGGAAGAGGGACCAGGGAGAAAAGGTTGGAGCCAAAGTCTGTAAAGATGGGCTAGAGCTGGCTGTGGAGAATAAGGGGTCAGTCAGGCAGCTAGGTGGGGATATATTGGTGACAACACATTTCTTCTAGGCATTTTAATACTCTTTTAATTCCAAGGAAGGGAAAAGAGCCTTTTACGTCGAGTCTTTAACTAGCACTTATTCTGTTTTACAGAGTAAAAGATAATTTATAGTTAAGGAGTAGTATATTGAGTTATTATATAATATCTAGTTTGAACGATTCCATAATTGGTGACGTTTCGTTTTATGTTTTAGAAATCTTCTTTAATCACATTGTTAAACATGATTTTTTTCATTTTAACATTTTACATTCTTTAATTTGCTTATTTCAATTATATATTCTTCCACTGCATTGTTCTTTCTTTTGAATTTCCTTTCAGTGTTTTTCCTGTTTGCCTCTTTGTTTTGGTCTCTCTTTCATGTTAAGGGCTTTCCTTAGCTATGTCAGTGTTGATCAGAGCAGCCCTGAAATGCTAATCGAGGATTGAATGTGGGAGGGGGACCTGTTGACTTGATTGCAGGGGGCTGGGCAGTGGGGTCCAGATCTCTATCTTGTCTTCTTCCAGCCCTCTCTGTCCTCCTGGCTGTTAAGGCTTCAGCCTCCCGATCATGCAGCTCACATTCATACCATCAGTACCTGGCTCACAGTCTCCTCTGGTCCACCTGTTGGCATCATTCACTCTGAGAACCAGCCCATGTGAGGCCTCCTGGCAGTCCCCTGACCTCCTCACCTTGACCTTTTCCTTCACCCACTTCAGTCTGCCTAGGAGTTTTCTGCCCTCCTTACTTCGCTTCCAGCCAGTGTCCTTACCTCACACTACACTAAGAAAATAGCATCCACTTGGCCGCAGCCCCTCATCTTCACATCACCAAAATGATACCTTCCCCTCCATTCAGACCCTCTTCTCTTCCTTTCCCTTCATTATAGTGGAGAAAGTGCCCTCTCCTCCTGTCCAGGGCCTGCCCTGTCCCCACTCTTCTCCATCCTTAGGGTTTCTGTGGTGGGACCCCATGTTTTCTCCCCCTCCTCCTCAAGTGCTCCCACCAGCACACAAACATGCTTACTTACAAACCCAAAAAGCCACCTTGCTCTGCCCTGTTTCCCTCCTCTTTTCATAGCCAACTTCTTGGAAAAATTGTCCACCTCAGCTTTGATTCATTCTAAAAAAGATTATTATGAAACATTTCAAGCATATAAGAAATGTCATACATAACCATCTGTCTTCCTTTTAGCTTTATCAGATGAATCTTTTTGCCTCATTTGCTTCATGTCTTTTATTTTTCACAGGAAAATATTGCAAATGCAAATGAATCCCTTTTGTATCTCTCCATTTATTCACATTCCTTCCTCTCTAGAGATGACCTCTTTTGAATGTGGAGTCTGATTCCTTTGCATATTTTTATATTTTTTTCTCCGTATGGATATACCCATAAATATATTATTTTACACAATATGAAACTTTATATGAATAGCATCATTTAGCTCACTGAAATCTGGCCTTCACCCCTACACAAGAACATGCCTTCTCTTGTCAAGGTCACTGCTGCCTTCCATGTTGCTTAATCCAGGGAACCCTTTGACTCCATTCAGTAGCTCACAGCAACCCGAGTGCTTGGAAATCCTTTCTTGTGGCATTTATGAACCAGGCATTCTTAGTTAATTTCTTACCTCTTGGGCCATCTTCTCCATCTACTTTGCTAGCTTCTGCTCTTCAACACAAGTTATTAACGTGAGTTTCCCAAGGCTCAGTCATAGGTGCCTTTCTTTCTAGTGAGTCTTCATCTAGTTTTAGGACTTTAAAATCTGCCTGCGGGTCCTCAAATGTGTGTGACCAGTCCACTTCTGTGGGTTCACGTTAGTTTCTTCTTTTTTAGTTCCCCTCTTTAATCTCGTTCCCCCACTTCCACCTCTGACCTATGGATGTTGCCGTTTCCCCTTAAGAACTGGATCTCTAAAGGCAGGGCATCTCCTCCCACAGGCTTGCGCGTGCACCTGGTTCCTGGCACCCCCTGGTGCAGTTGGGGGGCCTGGCGCACCCGGGTTATGGTCCGTGGCTCCTCCTGGGGCGTGCACCCAGGACCTTCTGCTTGTAAAGTGATGTGCCACCCCCACGTTAGTTTCTTCTTGTTTTTCTGTCTTGCTTATGTAGTCTTCATAAACATATTTAACGACCAAATAATAAGTATTTAATTTTCTGTGCAGATTTCAAAAGTTCTTTTTTTCCTTTAATGTTGCAGTGTATTTTTTTTTTCCTGTCCTGTGTTGGCATGGCTTTTTACTTGGTGTGTAGGAACACCCAACCATATACATTTCTTTTTTTTTTTATTCTGGAAATTCCAAATACCAATATTCTAGGTTTTCTATCTTTTTAAAGCAGAGAAATTTAAAATGCAAATATTTTATATTTATAAAAAATAACAGGTAAGGAAGTATTTTCTCCAGGGTTTCTTAAAGAGGGTAGGACTATGTCAGGTTTGCTCTTTCTTTAAGATGCTTGACTTAGTCTTTCAAAATTTCTGGCCACTCACTTCATAATACAGACAATCCAGAGTGTTTGGTTTATATCTAATGCTTAGATGATTTCTTGCTTTCTTTCAGTTTTTTTTTTTTTTTTTTTTTAAATTTCGCTAGTATCTGTAGCATCCTCTTTTACCTACCAGTCACTATTTATTTTGCAGGCAACATCTAGACTGAGAGAAAGAGGCTGTGATGGCCGCCTGGCAGGAATCGAAGTTCAACAGCTCTTCTGTTCTCAAAGTGCAGCAATTCCTGAGCACCAGCTAAAAGAACTGAACGTAAAAATCGACAGTGCTTTGCAAGTAAGTTTTTCAGAATTGACAAATTTTTATCTGAGAGATAGGAACAAAGGAGGAAATTAAAGTTGTAATATTGAACCAATTGGAAAGTAGTTGGCTTTAAGTGTTTTAAAACTATAGAAATTTTAAATTTCTATTTTCAGTGGACTTTATCATTTTATAATGTACGTAATCTTGATTCTTGAAAACAATTTCTTTGCAGGCATATAAAATAGCTCTGGAAAGCTTAGGCCACTGTGAATATGCAATGAAAGCTGGTTTCCACCTGAATCCAAAGGCGATTGAAGCCAGTTTGCAGGTATATTTTTCTTTCTGGGAGCTCTTTGGAGCTGTGACGTGGCAGTGTCTCCATACCAAGTGAACCAAGTGTCTTGATAGATGAACTGTGGGTCACCTCTTCTCTCCCATCCAAACCTTTTCCAGGGCTGCTGCAGCGAGGCGGAAGCACAGCAGACAGGGCGGAGGCAGACCCCCCCACAGCCCATGCAGTGTGAGCTTCCCACTGTCCCTGTGCAGATCGGATCGCACTTCCTGAAGGGTGTCTCCTTCAACGAGTCAGCTGCTGACAATCTGAAACTTAAAACGGTAGCTTTCCATTGGGTTTCCAACAGCCCGGGTGTGAACTTGAAAATAGAGTTCTTAAGGAAAGCTGAGGGCTTTTTATAAAAAATATAGATTAAACAGCAAAACTGAAGTGAAGGCAGGCAGCATGTAACCTTTTCAGGAAACTGGGGTCCAACAGCAAACTATGGTGACTTAATTTTTAATGAGACATTTGCCAAGTTAGTTTTATTCATAATTTTATTCAAATGTTTAACATAAAGGGTTTTGAAAGTACACTATTTTGAAAATACTGTTTACGATTAACATTTCAGTGGACTTCATGAATTAAATAAGAGAGAAATCTTGTCATGATATGGCAATAATTATGACCAATTGTGGGGCATCATGTGTGCCAGGCATTGTGCCAAGCACTTCACGTGCATTGTCTCCTTTAATGCTCACCCGTATGTATACCCTTTTCCCCATTGGAGAAACCGAGGAACTGAGGCCCAAGATCACACAGCTAGAAAATAATAGACTAGAATTTGAGCTTATGCAGTCTGTTTCCAGAGCCTGCATACCTGACCACTTGGTCATCCAAAATAAAGTTGAGGTTTTCATTGGTATTTACTTCTACCAGATGATTTTGTCTCCTTATTTAGAAAGATTCAGAATTCAAACTTCCTCAACTAGTTTGCATTAGCAGATTGCTAAATAATGCTGTATTTGCTGCTAGTATAGAAATACCATGTGTGTATTAATGTATGTGTATCCAGATCTCATCACTCACTCTACAGGGCTGAGAAAATCTCCAAAGGTGTTACTTAATAAATTAAAATTTCATGATTTGGGGGTACTTAAACCGCTTTTCTTTTGAGGACTATTGTGTACTTATAAATGCATTTCACTCTACAAATTTTAGAACCTTGTATGGCCTCATCTTGAGTTGTGAACTCTTTTGTTATCAATCTGTAGCATACAATGTTACAGCTGATCAAGGAGGCAGGTTGCTATAATGGAATCACACCAAGGGATGATTTTCCTGTGACGGAAGTACTGAACCAGGTGTGCCCATCCACATGGCGAGGCGCCTGCAAGACTGCCGTGCAGCTGCTCTTTGGCCAGGCTGGACTGGTGAGCGAGCATGCATGATGGATGGGAGAGAGAGTAGAGAATGATTTCAGGCATGTAAGGACGTGGTGTGGACATGTGTGAAAATACCGAATAATTTAAAAAATTCTTTAGTGCTACAGAGTTTAGACCAGATAGAAAAAGTAAAGGAAAGAGCAGCATGAAAATGTCTTTTTTTTCTTCTATTGTAGATTGATAATATGTATTGGTAGGGAACTAGTTGCAAAATGATGTTGCAGGCTTTCCTCGTTTTAAGAAAACCATTACGTTGATAATGACTTGCAAGGCTCCTTGACCTAACCTCTGGAGCTACAGTGGAGGTCTTTCTGTTGCTCAGGCACGTCAGGCTTCCACCCGTCTTAGGCATTTGCACTTGTTGCTCCTTTTACCTGAGAATACGCCTCTGATCATCATGTAACTCAGACATAACCTTTGAGACACCTCAACAGTATCCAGCTCTCTGTTTTTCTCCTTCTTAGCAATAAAATAGCAATATCAATTCAGAAATGACTTTGGTCTTATCATCTTTGAAAATAACTTTTGCTGAAGTTGGATGGGGTTAGGAGGCCAACATATGAAATCACCATTTAGCTTTTTGTTTGACACTGTTGACCCACATAACCATATGTATTTGATCCCACTTTCTAGAATTAAATGACTACTTTTTGAAAAGGTAGAGCTTTTCAGTCAGCCTAAAATGAAGCTAATTAAAAATTAAGAAATTAAAGAACTGTTTTTTAGTCTAATTTCTACTTTATTCTTGAGTGGAGTTGTTGGGAAGGTACTGTCCTTTGTTTCATATGGGTGAAGGCTAAGGTGTCCCAGCTCAGGGTGGTGCTGCCTTGTAGGGGCCAGATGAGGGCCTGTTTACATTGGTGAGTACTTCCTTTAAGATCTCTTCCTTAGTGTAGGAACCCTTAAGAGAGCCATAAACCAGAGACCTCTGCCGAAGTATGGAAAAGCCCACTGCCTCTAGGAGATTGATCCATACTCCCAAAGATCATTTTAGCTGAAACTAGGAGAACCACAGCACTAAGTTCTATAGAAAGGCACATGCAAAATAAGGCAAAAGGACACACAGTCTGTTTTGAGAAAACGTGATAGGCTTAAAAAAATTTCCATGTTGTTCAAAGATCAGAATCTTCTTCCTAGTTCCCTGCCCCTTGCTCCCAGGGCACTTTTGTGTGTGACTGACAAATTAGATTATGGTTCTCAGGATGGGAGGAGAGAGGAAACACCTGCCTGGGCCAACAATGGCTATTACTTGGACAGGAAGTCTTTTCCAAAGGACGTTGCAGACCAGCTGTGGGAACTCTGTTTACATCAGTGGAAATCAGCTCCATTGGAGGCTGAGTTTGGAATCACAAAGAGCAACTCTGCATGGCTCTAACCCTTCTGATATGTTACAGATTTGCTTTTAAAGTGTTTTATGATTATTTTCTTAAAATTCTTTTATATTTCAAATATATATTTGAAAATATATTCATCACTTTGTCAAACTCCTTAAATTACATAGGATACTATATTATGCGTGTTTATTAAAGACTCCCCTCCAAATAAGAGGAAATCATTGAAGGAAGGATTAGTTCTTCTTCTTTCCTGAAGTAGTTCTGTTTTTTTGATGAGTGAGGATAAAATGATCTTTTAAAAACGCTTCGTCCACTTCTTGCTTGTATTTTGTCATTACAGATGTGTTGGTTTGATTTTTTAATGACATTTTTATCTCTCATGTACACAAAAATAATAAATACAAAGATAAAGGAAACAAAGTTATTCTAACATTTATAGTTTGGAAGAAGTACCACAACTGCTTGTAAAGTTCAGTACATCTTGTACCCAGAAGTTCGTTTCTGTTTATTAAGTATTACTGTATTCAGTCATCTTTATTACTTGCTGCTGTCTCCATGGGGCTCCTGACTGGCCTTTGCATAACTGCCTTGCTGGGGGGATAGTTCTTGCCAGATTACGTGGCACCGATAAGTTACATATTGGATTTATTTGTGATCCATTTTTCTCTCTGAAAGCTGATTGTTGTTTTTGTTTTTCTCTTAGGTGGTAGTTGACACGGCACAGATAGAAAATAAAGAAGCTTATGCCCCCCAGATCAGTTTAGAAGGCTCCCGAATCGTGGTTCAAGTCCCATCCACATGGTACTGTGACTTTTACATTACACAAGCCTAAGCGTGTTAGATGTCTGCATATCTTTGAAAAGATTGCCCCCCTGCTAACTGACAGGACATGTCTTCTGCTTGTGTGGGTTTATGAGCAATGATGGTGCCATGTTCCATGGTTATCAGTCCATGATGAGGAAACCAAGGTGCCTGAAAAATAGTCTTACTGACCAGTAATGTAACTAAAATGTTATATACTCATGAATCATAATGATCAATATTATCTATCTTGGTTACTGCGTCCACAGCTTTTAAACAGCGTATATCATTTTCTCTAAGTCTCACCCATTATTTCTATAAAGCTGAGTCCAGAACATAGAATTCCTTCCCCTCTTTTGCCTGTTCCAACAACAGCCCTGATAATCTTGAGTTCGCGTCATTAGACACCCAGTGTCATTGCAAATCAGGGATAGACTCTGAACTATGTTTATTTTTAATTATTTAATTATATTTGTAAACTTATAATAAAGTACTCTTCTTCATTTATTAAAACAAAAGCTCCTATAAATCAGTAAGAAAATGGGCAAGGTACATGAACAGGTCAGTCAGAAGAGTCATATAGTCAACAAATACATGAGGAAAATGTGTAACCTTACCTAATAAAGAAAGGCAAAATAAGAGAACAGTATGATGCCATTTTGCCCATCTTGTTGTTAAATTGTTTTAGAATAACAATACTAGGTTTGGGCCATACTAGAAAAAAAACAGGCACAGAAGTTGTGGAATAAATCACAGCCTTTCTGGAGGGCAGTTTAGTCTATCTGAAGCCTAAAATACGGGATATGACATCAGCAGTTCCACCCGTAGGAATTTATCCTGATGATGTCCGTACAGATTCAGTTATAAGGATCGGCATCATAGCTTTATCAGTAAACAGCAAAATTAAACATATGTTGGAAGACTTTTGCTATTTAAATTGTAATCTGAATATTTAACTATATGGAAACTATTTAAAGCATTTAGGTAGGAAGAGAGAGAGATAGTAAGGAACAATGGTACTATTGATGCCTGCATGAACTAACGTGGGAGCTGGGTAATGCATTCAAATTGTATTTAAACCATTTCTCCTCAAATTTTGAGGGTCCATTAGTACGTTCTGTCAAAAGTTTTAGAACTGGTTGATATATCAAATAGGGATTGGCGGTTCACTTCATGTTCCAAAACTTCCCATTTATAAGTTCCCTCTTGCACCAAAATTTTTAATTTGATTATTCAGATGGTATACTGTTTCCCTAAATGAATGGTAATTTATATACATTTCTCATTCCTATCAAACAATAAATTAAAAGCTCACTTTTCTATAAGGTTTTTGTGTTCTGGAATTTTTAATTTGTTTTACAGTTCAAGTTCTTATTGAAAAATATTCAGTTTAATCAGGATTCTCATTTTGAAGAAAACAGTTTGCACTTTTAGATAATAGGATAATTATAAACAACTAATACTGAAATGGTTAACCCTTGAGTTTTCTTTTTCTCGTTTTGATAATTTTTAAATTTTCAGTTATAGTTAGCATACAATATTATATTAGTTTCAGGTGTACAACATAGTGATTAGATATTTATATAATTTACAAAGTGATCACCTTGATAAATCCAGTCATTACAGTATTATTGACTATATTCTTTATGCTATACTTTACATCCCCATGATTATTTTGTAATTATCAATTTGTACTACTTAATCCTTTCCCCTTTTTTACTGTCCCTTCACCCTACTCCCATCTGTCAAACCATCAAAATGTTCTCTGCATCTGTGAGTCTGTTTGTTTTGTTTTATTTTGTTCTTTAGATTCCACATGTAAGTGAAATTATATGGCATTTGTCTTTCTTTATCTGCACAGCACAGTACCCTCTAGCTTCATCCATGTTGTTGCAGATAGCGAGATTTCATTCTTTTCTTCATGGTTGAGTAATAGTCCATTGTATATATGTACTACCCCTGTTTTATCCATTCATCCATTGATGGGCAGGCACCCAGGTTGCCTCTTGTATCTTGACTATTGTAAATAATGCTGCAATGAACATAGATTCACATGGCCCTTTGAAAAGTAGTATTTTGGGTTTTTTTGGTGGGGCAAATACTCAGAAGTGGGGTTACCGGGTCCTTCTTTGTCTCTTGTTATAGCCTTTATTTAAAGTCTGTTTTCTGGTATAAGTATTGCTACCCCGGCTTTTTTTGTTTATTTCCATTTTCACGAAATACCTTTTTCCATCCATTTACTTGTAGTATGTGTGTGTCTTTCGATCTAAAACGAGCGTCTTGTAGGCAGCATGTGTAAGGATCGTGTTTTCCTATCCATTTGGCCAACTACATCTTTTCATTGGAGATTTAGTCCATTTATATTTAAAGTAATTATTGATAGATATGTAGTATTTGCCATTTTATTATTCATATTTTTTATCTTTTTTTTTCTTTTTCTTAAAGAAATCCCTCTAGCATTTTTTGTAATAGTGGTTTGGTGGTGATGAACTCCTTTAGCTTTTCACTTTAGTTTACTTTCAAAACTGTATGACTGATTTTCTTTGTAATTCATTGCGCCTCCATGAAAGACCTTCTAGACTATGAGTCCTTGGAGAGGCTCCCTCTGCTGGTTGCTTTTGGTAAAAACACAAAGATTTTTTTTGTTGTTTCTTTCAAATTGTAAAATATGTGCTTTTTGAGACAAACTCAAATGGAAGTGATTGGTTTGCTCCACCTTCAGGGAGATGAAATTATTAACATGACCAGTAGAGAATTTATTATATCCTTTGCTTTTAGTAAAATGAAATATCTAGCTGCCAGATATGTTTTTTTCCCAAATGAAGTAAACTTTACTTATTTTTAAAACTGTCATATTCAAGCTATCCATTTTTTCTTTCAACAAATACTAAATACCTTCTATGTGAGACACTGTCGGGGCTCTGGGAATTTAATCATAAGCAACACAGACAGGATCCCTGCCTCTAACTGAACTGATTTTGTAATGGGGAAGAAAGAGCTAATAAGCATAAGAGTTAAGTTCAAACACTGGCAAGTGTGTGAAGGGAATAAGAGTAGAATGATGTCATATGATAGAGATGGGGTAGAGATGGGGAGGCTATTTTGAATGAGGAGTTCAGTCACCAAGGGCCTTCTTGAGGATGTGACATTTAAGAGGAGCTGGCCATGCAGAGAGTGGATGGGGAAAGCATTCCAGGCAGAAGGAACAGCAAAGGCCTGAGGAGTGAACCAGCATGGCTGGAGATATGGTAGGTGATGCTGCAGGGGGCATGGGAGGTCATGGAAGCCAGGACTTGCAGGGTCCCTAAGAGACTTGGATTTTTACCTAAGAAGAGGTAGAGGGTTTTAAGCAAGTCTGAGTGATTTGTCAAAAGAATGGGTTTAGGCTCTTAAGGGGATTTTATTGATCAGCTCTCAAGACTGATGAATAAAATAAAAGTGCCAGTTTGTTGATTTTCAGAAAGAGAAATTATTATCACCAGGAACTATAGTACTTCTTTCTGCGTGACCAGCAAATGCTCTCCTCATGGGCAAACATGTGACCAGCCAAATCACAAGCAGAAGTTGGCTTGGGACCACAGAGCAGGTGTGTCCTGATAATCAGCGACTCCAGGCTGAGAGAATTGCATGTGTGAACCTTGGCCAGCTCCAGTGGCCAAGATTCTCTCCCAGGAGTCCAGGGGCTGGTTGGGCACCGTCAGAGCTTACCTTGTTGCCTTTTCCAGTGTTCCTGAGGTTGGCCAGCTTACACCTTCACAGATTTATTTCTTCTCAAGCCAAAGTCATATTGGGGAGTGCTGCTGTCTTCCTAGGGTGGCCTCACAAGTGTTGATCTCACCATTTCACTCCCTGAGTTCTCAAGGACAGACAGACAGTATCTTTCTGGTCCTCCCTCTCAGAAGAGGCCTCTTGGTGGAGGTACCCTGAATGGGCAGTGGGGACATGAATGGTGGGAAGCAGCTCTCAAGGGAGAGCAGTCCAGAAGAAGACAGCAACAAGAGCAAAGGTCCTGACATGTAGGGAATCCCGGCCTATTCAGAGAGTGAGAGACGAGGTGAATGGAGATAACAGTGCAGAGAGGGATGACCAGAGAGGCAGGAGGGGCCAGCTCACAAAGAGCCTTGAGGGCAGTGGTAAAGGGTTTAGATTTTATTTCAGTCATGATGGGATGTCACTGGATGGTTTTTAAACAGGAGCAATGTGTTCTGATTTGCGTTGTAGGAGGCTCACTCTGGCTGCAGTTTGGAGGGTGGGCCTTGGAGAGACCAGAGAAGAGAAAAGGATACCAGCTGGGAGGTTAGTCCTGAGATACGAATGGTGGTGGTTTCTTGGAGTAAAGAGGTGGTGAGAAGTGCTTGGATGCAGACTACGTTTTGGAAGAAGAGCAGTCAGGATTTGTTAATAGATTGATGTAGAACATGAGGGAGCTAGAGGTGGCTTGTAGGTTTGGGGTAGACAGCTGTGTTGTGTACTTATTGAGGGAGTCTAGGATCAGAGTGGGTTTTGGTGGGGAGGAGAGGAATCCAGAGTTATGCCGACCTACCAGGCTACCTTTGAGCTTCCTGTTAGGTGTGCAGGGAGAGATGTCAAGTGCACAGTTAGGTGTATGAGAGTGGATTTGAGGAGGAAGGTCTAGGTTGGTGAAGGAAATTTGAGAGTCTTCAGTGTCGGGATGGTCTGTCAAGCCACAGGACCAGATTCAGCACTCTAGAGAGAGAGGAGCAGGATGAGTCCGTAGAGGAGACCAAGAAGGAGCTGCCAGCCACATAGGAAGAAAATGGAGCAAGTATGAGGTCACTGAAGCTGCAAAAGACAGTGATAGAGGAGGAAAGACACATTGCACAATGTCGCTGACAGATTTACTGAGATGAAGACAGGTAATTGACCCTTGACTTTGGCAAGATTGAATCTGTTTGATAAAAGCTATTTTAGTGGAGTTAAAGGGATGAAAGCCTGGTCAGAGTAGGGTGAGAGGAGAGTAGGAGGTAAGATGTTTTGCTAAAATGAGGAGCAAGAAATAAATGGGGCAGTGTCTGGGGAAAATGCAGGGCTAAGAGAAGGTGGTTGGTGAGAGTGGTTTGTTTGCCAAAGGGAATCTCATGAGTGGTTACATGAATGAGACCCTTGGGAAAGCAAGAGGGTAGCATGCAGCACTCAGATGGAGGCCAGCCTGTGGTAAGAGCAGGGCCTGTCTTTCTCTGTGGCAGGCAGGGAAGGCAGGCCGGGTGGGCAGAGACACAGGTGAAGTGGAAGAACTAGTGATGAGGGGATATGAAGTAGATCTGATCTGTGTTTTCTCAATTAAGTGAGAGTTGGGATAGGAAAGAATGGGCAAGGTGGCAGAGATAGCAGAGCTTCGAAGAGAGGCAAGAAGGCGTGAAGCAGTCACCTTGGAAAAGGAAAAAATTAATGTATAGGAAGGCCATGTTTGTTCCTTACCTGAAATTTGGGGTGAGTCCAGGTGGTAGACTGAGAGTTTTTTCCCTTCATTGATCCTCAGTTTCTTGGGTACAGATGTGAAGGGCCATAGAGGAAGGGAGGGGCAGGTTATGGAAAGAGTTTGCAGAGGAGTAGATATTGTGCCAGACCACAGAATCTTGGCAACATAAAGAGGAGAGTCAGGGCTGGAGCCGGCGCCGGACAGCGAGAGGGCATTAGGGCCCCTAAAGGCCCCTAGAAGGCAGCCCCTCCACCTTTCTTTTTCTATCAGATGGATCTAGATAGTTAGAAATCCATGGACACCCCAGACCCTATCACTTCCTCTTCCTTTTGCAGAGCAGCAAGTTCCAGTGTTAGCCATGTCATTCTCTAAATCTTCTTCTAAAAATTACTAAATTTTTGTTCAGTGCAAAAATAGATACAAATTGTGGCCTTTTGTATGAAGCCTGCTTGAAACGCTTTTGCAGAGAAGTGCTGCCCGGACTAATGCAGCCTGGTTCATGTGCAGGTGCCTGAAAGAAGACCCCGCCACCATGTCCCTGCTGCAGAGAAGCCTGGACCCCGAGAAGACCCTGGGTCTGGTGGACGTGCTCTACACGGCTGTGCTGGACCTCACCCGCTGGAGGGCAGGGAGGTGGGTGTCCCCACCAGTCACTTCAATCGATTTGCATTCAGGTCCACACCTAGGCACAGTGTGACCACATAGTTGTGTGTGTGCTTATGTCCCTGATAGTATGTGAGTATTTAAGATAAGAAAGAGAACTTTTTGATAACTTTTTATTTTGGAATAATTTCAGGCTTACAGAAAAGTTCCAAGAATATTGCAGCAGAGTGCTCTGTGCCCTTTACCCAGACTCAACCAGTTTGTTAACATTTTTGCCTTCATTTGTTTTGCTATTTAAGAGTAAGTCCATCAAGAGGATTTTAAGCCAATTCATATTCTCCTTAAGAACTAAGAGCAGAGAAATGTTTAGTAAATTTACTTATATCCTGCATGAACTTTATATCTGAAAATAGCTTGACAGTTACAAGATTATCTCTTTGTGACTTGTTAACCTTAGAACAGGTAGGAGCCTTAAACATCTAGCCATGCGTTCTCTCCTTAACTCATGAGCACACAGAGGCCCAGAAGAGTGAGGTGGCTTATCCCGGGTCGCACCAGCCATAACCTGCCTCATCTCCCACCCAGTGCCCTTTCTTTCTCTAGGGCTCTCTTTCAGTACTGGAAAATAGTGCTCGGAAAACTCTGTAGTAACAACCATCTGTTCTTAACACTGTCCATAAATTACTCCCAAGAGCAACAGTGCTACCTAGTTAGTGTCCCTGAGTTCTGCCCACCCACCCCTCTTTGCTGTGTGGATTTGTCCATTGTCTCTATGCTGGATCTGCCAGGCTCTCAGTCCTTGTTCTCCAGGAACAAAGCAGGCCTCTGCCAATTACATCCTCCTCTGTAGCCACGTTGAATCCTGATGTAGTTTTCACAGCCGTATGTTAGACACTGTAGACTTTTTTTAATAATAAATATAAGTAGTAGTTGAATTATGTACACTTAAAATTCTTGGGTGTTCATTTATTGATAAAATAACCTCCTACTACCCCGAGAAGTATATTTTGCTCTTAAAGTCTTTCTTAAATACAAGGAGATCCATTCCATTGTCCAATTTGTATATTTGCCTTTTTTAAAAAAATACATTTCTGTTTAAATAGGGAACAAGCTTTACCCTGCATACAGATCCAGCTTCAAAGGGAAATCTGTGATTTTGGGAATCAGGCTGACCTGCCTTCTGGAAATGGAAACAAATCTTCAGGTGGCCTGCAGAAGACATTCTCCAAACTGACATCCCGGTTCACTAAGAAAGCATCATGTACCAGTTCTAGCAGCAGCACAAATTATTCCATCCTAAATACCCCTTCGAAAAACATCTTCATAGCTGGGTGTTCAGAAGAGAAGGCGAAAGTGCCCAGTAATATTGATTCAAGGTTACAAAGCATTTTGAACATTGGTAATTTCCCTAGGACTACAGACCCTTCACAATCAGCTCAGAATTCCAGTAATCAAATGGCCAATGGTTTTCTCATGGAGAGGCATGACAACTTTCTGCAAGCAGATGATAGCAAGGACGAGAAGGGTATGAACTTACCAACTGATCAGGAAATGCAGGAGGTGATAGATTTTCTCTCGGGCTTTAATATGGGCCAGTCACATCAGGGCTCCCCATTAGTGACAAGGCGTAATTCTGCTGCCACAGCCATGGTGACTGAGCAGAAGGCAGGAGCCCTGCAGCCACAGCAGCCACCACTGCCAGTGCCCCCTCCACCGCGGCCTCCCCAAGCTGGGGCTCACACACCTCTGACAGCCCAGCAGGGCCTGGCACATCAGCAGCAGTCCCCAAAGCAACAACAACCCCAGGTCCAATACTACCAACACCTGCTCCAGCCCATTGGACCACAGCAGCCCCCGCCCCAGCCTCGGGCTCCTGGGAAATGGGTGCATGGCTCATCCCAGCAGCCAACACAGCCCGTGGGAGCGGGTCTGTCTCCTCTTGGCCAGTGGCCTGGCATATCTGATCTCAGTTCTGACTTGTACAGCTTGGGTCTGGTGAGCAGCTATATGGATAATGTGATGTCAGAGGTTTTGGGGCAGAAGCCACAGGGACCTAGAAATAACACCTGGCCAAACCGTGACCAAAGTGATGGAGTCTTTGGAATGTTGGGAGAAATTCTGCCTTTTGATCCTGCAGGTACGTGAGTCCCCCACGCCCCACCTTGGGTTTTAACATAAATGTGATCACTGAGAACTTCATTGGGCCTGTCTGCTACAGCCTTACCGATGGGAGACAGTGACTTTAAAGACCCTTTCTCATTATCTGATGGCTAGTATGGGGCAGATCCAGCCAAGGTTGGAAGAAGAAGTGAGAATGAGGTTGAGAAGGAAAGGGGAGCTGTTTTTCTCTCTGTACAGAGGACAAGATTGAGGCATTAAGAGAAGTCCCCAGGCTCAAAGTCCTATAGTTCAAGTCTGGGCCTCTCATTCATAGGAGCCAAAGTGGCTGCTTTTTTTCCTGATTACATAACCCGTTCTATGGTTCTTTTTGCCTAAATTCTAGGACCTATGAAAGGTGGTGTAGGGTACCCTCCTGCCTTCACAGAATACAGCTTTCCCAGCTTAGTAAGATACCACCAGAGTTATCTTAAGAAAGTAGAAAGAGAGCTTAGAACCAAACAAAAATAAGCTAGGAGGAGGAATGAATTAAGGATAAAAGCCAAAACTAATTAAATTTAAAAGAAAAATATAGTAGAAATTGTAACTGAACCTGAAAGAAGAGTCTTTGGAAGACCAATAAAATAAACCAATTTATTGTAAGCCTAAGAGACAGCAAAGAGAAACAAATAGGAAGGAGACATAACTACTACAGACATAGGAGAGACTAAAAGGGTTATACAAAAAGCAAACTATAGTGCCTGTCACCTATGAGTATGGATAGATGCAAGGAAATCCAGCAGCATATCAAAAGAGTAATATATATTACCCAAGCTTAGTTTAGGAGTGTAAGGTGGTTCCTTATAAGGAGTTCTGCTGCTGTACAGTAATTGATCACATCAATTAAATGAGAAAAACTTATATAGCAATAGACACTGTGACATTTGTTAAAAGACACCAGCAATTCTTTAAAAAATATATAAACCCCTTAAATAAAACGTGAATAGAAGGAAATTTCTTGAGTATAAAATAGACTAAAAGCCAGTAGCAAGTAGCAGCTGATATGCAGAATCATTCCAGTTAAAATCTAGACCCAGACTGGGTGGCAGCTATTACTGCCGAGGGCATATAACTTTGTCTTGAACTTTCTAGCAAATACAGCAAGACAAAAACAAGGGAAATAAGAGATATAAGCTTTAGAAAAGGATAGATTAGAAAGCATCTCTTTACTGGCAATAGAATTGGGAAAAAAACAAGACCTCAATAAAAAGCTTCTAGAATTAGTGATCTGATAAGGCAGATAGATGCAAGATAAATCTAGAGAAATTAATTATTTAATTTAGCAAAAGGCACGCAGAAGTAGAAAATGTATTTCATTCACAAGGGGAGTTCTGTGAAATATTGTAAATAAATACAGCAAATATTTATGTAAATAAGCACCAACAGAGGAGATTCCCTGATAAAACAACCCAGCATTAACTATTAAAGGAAATATGTTTTCTTATGTCTTTTAAAAATTCCTCAAACTGCTGCTTATGCTTTCTTGTTCTTGCTCTCCTTGGGTGAGTGGATTTGGGGAACCTTATACCCTGGGGTGTGAGAAAGGCAAACCTGTATGGGTTTCCCTGCTATGGAGGAACAAGTCCACCTGGCACTACTGGGGTGGGCATGGCACATTTTCTCAATTGTTGATAAACAGTCTGTACATTTTCTGACAGTCATGTAATTAAACCAGAGTGTAAACTGTGTTTGGCAGAACTTTCTCACTGTTGAGACCTATTGAGGCCCATACAATCTTCGTCCTTAGCCTGCAAATCCTACCAGCTTTTTCTCTGACTGTTCCTTTCTGACCTTCAAGTCCTTAATGTAGCTTCCTGCAGACCACACCCCAAGGGCAGAAAGTCCACATAGCCATTTTTGCAAATTAAGGAAGGGCACTCCACTGAACAGGTGAATTACAGAAGGTACCCCTCTTGGGCAGGGCCAGTTAAAACAGAGCGCCCCCTCTGGACAGGCACACACAGCCCCTGGGGGCGTGGCTTGACTGATTGAGACCTGGCCTTGATTCTAATTCCTGTTCTCCCCTGGTGTGGGCATCTTCCTTCAGTGCACAAGTGGCCCAGTTTCATGCAGTAATCCTGTGGCAGCGCCCTGAGAACAAGCTAACAATGGGGTTGTGCTTTAGTATCTTTCCCAGTTTGAAGCTAAAACATATATACTGCTGAGTCATATTCAGTTTGTGACCCGTAGCTACTTTTTGTTTGACTCTTCCTCTAAATGCCTTCTGTGCTGTATTTTCTCCCACTTTTATTGCCCTGAACATCCTTAGCTCTGTCCAGTACGCTTCCAGCTACCTCTTAATACATTCTGAAATTTCATGTTATTCAGTACCACTCTTATTGTTTTCAGATTGAATGAGCAGGTCTGCCATCTGATATCCAGGAAGATACTGGATCAGAGTTGGGATCAAGTGGGAATGGCGTATGTTCTGTCTGGCTGACCCTGATGCTTTGATAACTTCCAGATTATCAGTTGGCTGAAGTCATCTTATTTTTTAAATTGTTAAGTACAAAACATCAGACATTGGAAAATTTTAAAGTAACTAGACTTTGTCTTTAATATTTAGTCATGGATAAAGCGAACCTTTTATATTCTCCTTTCCGTCTTCTGTTCACGTTCCCCCTGCGTCTTTCCTGGGCATAACCCTTCCTGACAGTCCCTGTGCACGAACTCAGTCCTGTGTGCTGAAAGCCGCATCCCAACACTGCAGGCTACTAGGCAAATCCTGCAGCTCCTCACTATTCATGGTGTGCGTAACCAGAATATCCTCAGAAGGTAGCAAAGGAAACAAGAGGCCCGTTTGGCTCTAAACCTTGTTTGTCCCTTTGTTTTAACAGTCGGTTCAGACCCCGAGTTTGCACGCTATGTGGCAGGAGTGAGCCAGGCAATGCAGCAGAAGCGGCAGGTTCACCATGGTCGCCGCCTAGGCAACCCCCGGGGACACTGGCCACCCATGGATGATGCCCATCGGACCTGGCCTTTCCCAGAGTTCTTCACAGAAGGGTGAGTGCTAGGTATGGCAGGGAAGCCGAGTTTGGGATCTGGGTGTGCCCCATGGGGCCTTTGTGCATTCTTATCAAGCAATTAAATTTCAAGCTCGCACGTGAGAGTGACATGGTCAAATCTTCAGGGAGTCAGAGTTTTGTGATTAACTGTAGGATGCCAGGTGGCATGATGTGTCCCTGTGAACACACCACTGGTATAAATTGATTTTCAAGACAGACTTTTCTGCCCTAGACAGGTATCTTATTTGATAGTGTTTGTGAAGTAACTGCATGTTTAACACAGTCTTTGTGCTGAGATAAGCATGTCTGTAAAACCCATGTGATTTATGGCATGTGATCCTTGTAGCCTACGAAAAGCAAAGGTATATGGTTCAGATTCCAATGTACAGCGAAAACTGGATTTTCATCATAGAAACAACTGGGGATTGATTTTTATCGAATCTCTTATTGCTGCCTGGTTAATCTGGACAGCTAAAGACCATCTCAAATTTTTGTTTGCTCTAAAATGAATTTCATATATAATCACAGGCTTCTGAGAGTAATAAAGGGCAATGATACATACAGATTATAGTTGACCCTTGAACAACTCAAGCGTTAGAGGCACCAACCCACCATGCAGTCGAAAATCCACATACAACTTAAGTTGGCCCTCCTCATACTTGGATTCCCAGCTGTGGATCGGAAAATACAGTTGACCCTTGAACAGCGCATTTTTGAACTGCACAGGTCCACTTGTTTGTGGACCTGCATATAAGAGATAAGAGACCACTATTTGGTTGTGAGATGAGTGCAGGGTAAAGATTATTCTTTTAAGGCTTGGGTGTGGGGTAGGAGCTGGCCTCAGCTGTCTAGCCACTGTCCAAGCTGGCTATAGGAGGCCCATGACCAGCTTCTCTCTTTGTCTTTCAGGGATGGCCTGCACAGCGGTTGGTCAGGGGCTCAGGGAGACTCGGCCAGCTCGAGTGACGAGACGTCCTCCGCCAATGGAGACAGCTTGTTCTCCATGTTTTCAGGGCCTGACCTCGTTGCTGCTGTCAAGCAGAGAAGGTATGAAGCGATTTCTGAATCAGAGCACAGCGGGGCACATGAATGTGATCCACAGCTTATTCCCTTGGAAAGCTCAGTAGCCCCATTGTTTCTAGTCAGCCTTGTGTGAGAAAGGCAGAGGGCTTCTTCTGGTACTGTCTTGCCGGGGCCTCTGTGGGGCCACCATACAGGCTTGTAGCCCAGTTGACTTAACATTGGATTGAGTTTTTGCTGGCAGAACAGTCTCATGCCCGTGGTAGCCAAAAATACCAGTATGACAGGCAAGAGAGGAGTCTGAGACAGGGTCTCCTGATGTTGGATGCAAGAGGCAGCCTTTTCTGTGGGGGGAACAGGACCAGGAAAGCCAAGTCCTAATCAGGACTCACTGACAGGCTTTGTAGCCCCAAACATGGGCTTGGCCCAGACTGACCCTCAGTTTCTTCGTCAAAGGTGGAACTGGATAAAATGACCTCTGAATGGTATTTCAGAGTTGAAAAACATAGTAATATAGTATATTCAGATCTGGGAAGTTTTCAAAAGTAGTCACAAAAATTAAAATGGGTCCTGACATACGAGAAGAATTTGGTTAGAAAGTAGAGAGACTGTTGTGGGTGTGAGGCAGCAGAGGCCCTCACAGAGGTGGCAGTCTAAAGGATGTGGGCAGGAAATAGGGAGCCTGCAGGGATGCCCGGGCATCAGAAGTCATGCTGTGGAGTGGAAAGGGAGGCCAGGTTACACGGCTCTTGTGCGACAGTGTCAGGCTTCATTGGGTGAGCAGTGGGGAGTGGGCAGACGCAGATGGAATGGTACCTAAGTCAGGATGCACAGAGTAGTAACAGTGTAATAACAGTGACTGCTAATACAATCTAGGGTGCTTTCTATGTGTCAGGCCCTGGGCTAAACATTCACATGCATTTTCTCACTTAATTCTCACAACTACTGTACTTATTTGCTAAGGCTACTGTAACAAAATACCACAGACTGGGGGTGCTTAAACAACAAAAATGTATTTCCTCACAGTTCTGGAGGCTCTCAGATCAAGGTGTCAGCAGGGTTGGTTTCCTCTAAGGCTTCTCTCCTTTGCTTGCAGATGGCCATCTTCTCCCTGTATTTTCACATGGTCTTCCCTCTGTGTGCATTAGTGTCCTAATCTTCTCTTCTTATAAGGACACCAGTCATATTGGATTAGAGTCCACCCTAATGACTTTATTCTAACTTAGTTACTTGTCTGAACACCTTATCTCTAAATACAGTCACAGCCTGAGGTACTGGGAGTTAAGACTTCAACATATGAATGTGGGGTCAACATATGAATGTGGGAGGGTGACACAAATCAGCCCATAGCAACCACCTTATTATATAAGTACTGTTTTACCCCCAATTCACAAGTGAGGAAACTGAGGCTCAGAGACATTAAATTCATTCATTCATTAGTACCTATCATGTACCAGTCAGTGGTGATATAGCAATAAACAAAATAGAGTCCTCATCTTTGTGGAACTTACATTTTATTGAGGGAAGGCAGATAAAAAAAAAATTTATATATACACACACACACACACATATATATGTCACATTGAGTTAGATGCTAGGAAGAAAAATAAAGTGAGGTATGAGGGGAGAGAGCATGCAGGAGACAGGTGGATTTTCTGTTTTCAGAATGAGAGTCAGGGAGGCCTCTGATGACCAGAAAGCTGAACAAAATGAGGGAGCAACTGCTGAGAAATTGGCAGTGGGGTATGTGTCAGAAGAATCAAGAATGATTAGCAAGTTTTTGGCCTGAGCATCTGTGTGAAAGTGGGTGCCATGAACCAAGACAGGGAGGACTGCAAGAGTGGCAGTATGGAGCCATGGGTGGAGTTAAGACTTCCATTTGAGACATGGGAAATTACAGAGGCCGATTAGACATCTAAGAAGTTACCTGAGCACTACCTGTGCAGAGACTGCTGTCTGCATGCAGGGGTGCTGGTAACTGATTTACCTGGCTCTGAGCTGGCTACGTCCTGCCTTTTACATTCAACATTATATCAGAAATTTTTTCAAGTCAGTAGCAGAATAATAGCTTTTTGTTTTTTTTAGTCACATATCCTCAGTGCATGGTAAATAAATCAGTCTGTAGCTGCTGATAAACAAAAGGCCAGAGCTGGTGGACTCAGAGAGCAGCTGAAACAGCCAGTGCTGTCCTCATGCCTGCTCCCCTACCCACCCCAGCCCTGCGATGACTTGGGGAATGCACCATTCCGTGGTGACCCACCTTATCCTCCTGCACACAGTGGACCCAGCTCTGCCCTTCCCCCTCCCCTAGAACCAGTGCTCAGAGACACCAGAGTGAAGTGGCTAGGGTGCCCCCTGGAGGTAAGCTGGGCCGGCGACCACTGCACTGAGCTCTTGGTTCTTTTAGGAAACATAGCAGTGGAGAGCAGGAGACCAGCACGCTGCCCTCACCGCCTCTTCTTACCACAGTGGAGGACGTGAATCAGGTATGGTGGGCTCTGCTCTGGCCATAGAGGCTGGCTCTGGGGGGTACAGACCATGAGTGAGGTTCCAAAGCCTAAGTTTTAAGAGGACCTCAAAGAAATGAAAGCTTCTTTGTTTGAGGTGAACAACTTTTTTCCCTCACGATTTTGTCTAAATGATTAGCCATCTCAGCTGACTCAGAGCCACATGTAGAGGAACCTCTGGCTCTGCTGTTCAGTATGATAGCCACTAGCTAGCCACATGTGGGTACTATATTGAACAGTGCAGACATAGAACATTTCTGTCATGGCAAGTGCTACTGGATGGTGCTGTTCCAGGGCTGTGGAGAGGGTTGGGGCTCTTGCCCTGTCTCCTAGGTGAGAATAGGGCCAGGGATCTGGAGAGGTGGGGAAAGATGATAAATTGCCAGAAATGCCACCAAGAACCTTTTTTTGTCTCTCAGGATAACAAAACCAAAACGTGGCCACCCAAAGCACCCTGGCAACACCCTTCCCCGCTGCCCAGCACACTGCCTAGCCCAAGTGCACCACTCTATGCAGTCGCCAGCCCTGGCAGCCAGTGGAACGACACCATGCAGATGCTGCAGTCCCCAGTGTGGGCTGCGACCAGCGATTGCAGCGCCGCCTCCTTCACTTACGTGCAGACCCCTCCGCAGCCTCCGCCCCCACCAGCGCACAAGGCAGCATCCAAGGGCTTCAAGGCCTTCCCCGGGAAGGCTGAGCGCAGGCCAGCCTACTTGCCCCAGTACTGACCCAGGCTAGCCCACCTGCCCTGCCCAAAGCTGTTGGAGCCAGCGTCCCCACCCCAGGGCTGACTAGCTGGTACCAGCCCTCCGGAGGACCAGTGTACCCCTGTCCCAGGCAGGGATCCTTGGGGATGGGGGTCGTTGGCAGCTCTAAGCCTTTAAGGCCTGGCTTCTCAAACTTTGGAGGCATCAGACCCCTGGAGGGCCAGCTGAAGACAGAGGTCTCTGACCCTCCTCAGAGACCTGGGGATCGTCGAGCTTAATAAGCATTTCTGGTGATTCTGATGCAGGTAGGCCACAGGCCACACTTTGAGAAACACAGCTCTCAAGTTTGTAGTCCCACACTGTTTGTGCTGGGAAGACATCAGACCTGAAGGCTGAGAGCAAAACTGACCATTCTTCTGCAACCTTCCCCTTTTCCACCTTTAACACTTTGAGTGATGACCACACCAATCACTGTTATTTTATAGCTATTTTTCATATAGGTTTTTAGTTAAAACATCTCTTGCCTAAAAATGCATTGACTATTTTAAGATAACAAATTTAGTGGCTGGAGGTTTGTTCAACACTATTTTTATTTAAGCTTATATAAGATGGACAACTTATAGAATATTTGTGATCAGAAGCAATCACCTGGGTTTTCTGTGGGTGGGCAGCCCCCCACCACCCCAGCAGCACCCAGGGAGTGCAACCTTTACCAGATTTACAAAAGCAGGATCATAAAACTGATGTTGGAGGCATATTCCTGATGGTGCATGGAGATGAGCCAGCTGGCTGCTGTCTGTGTGCGGGATAAAGCTATGCCTGCTGCCCTCAGATCCTGCCACACATGGCCAGAGGCTTCAACACAGTCTCAAAACGGAGTGTGGTTAAGGGGCTGCACAGAGACACCTGCACTTGAAATTGCAGTAACGTTTATGAGCTGGCTCAAGACAAACCAATTAAGATGTAGATAGAAATTAAAGTATTTTCTTTAAAAAAACAAAAACCACCTCATTTTCAGTTAACATGTGCCATTAAATAGATAACATCCTGTGGATTTAGGGATATTTTCCAGCCAGAATGGATCCAGAAGAAGTGAATGGTGCTTAAATTGAGAAATAATAATAAATATATCTATATAGAATAGACATATCCCACTGTATATTAATTGAGGTTACAGAAGTTCTTTATATAAAACTTATTTAAATTTTTCATATTTCATCTTTGAAGAAGTCTAATTGAGAAAAATCCATAATATTTTCTGGTATGAAAGTTTGACAGTATTAATATTTTTTTTATATTTTCTTAAATCATTAAACCATTTTAATATATGTTAACTACTAATAAATGGTTTATTCTTTCTAACTCCATATAAGCTTTTCCAGCAAAGATTGTAATAACACATTTATGTTCTCATTTTTCTACGGATATAAGTAAATTTATATTTAAAAATACCAAAAAGAAGATATATATATATATGTATGTATACACACTAATTATAGAGGACCCCTAGGGTGTCTGAGCCCAGCCATCTGAATTTTCAGTACTGTGTCGCCAGGCTGTCTCCAGGCCTTGGGTGTTGTCTTGTGCTGTGTGGGGATGCCATTGCTGCCTGTACTTATGATCCTTTCACCGTGGGTTCTGAACATTCACCTCACCATGTTTACAGAGAACCGTTCTGTACATAGACCTTTTCAGGCACGTGCTCTGCACCAACCCTGCGTGGCTCTTGTCTGTGTTAGCTGTCACAGTGTGTGCACTAATCTCTGTTAAAATTGTTTGTGGCTGTTTGACTTGTAAGATAGTGTTCTATTTCCTTTAGTAACGTGTTCACAGTACTCTGTATTTCCAGTTCTATTATGCTGAAGTACTCTTGTTTTAATAGTGCCTCCCCAAGACCTCACCCTGGTCAGAGGTCAGTCCTTGATGCCCCAGTGCAGTTGACATTGACATCACTAATTGTCCCTTTCTAGTCTGTTTTTCTTAAGACATTTTGTAATTGCATCTCCATGAGCTGTGAGATTGTATGAAGCTGTTTGTGTGTGGTCTCCTGGTAGGTGCTGTGTTCTCAGCACCACCTTGCTCTGAACACTGGTAATTCCAGGTGCTGCGCTTGGCAGAGGAGTTCGCCAAAGCGTATGTGTGTGTGTGTGTGTGTGAGTGTTGTGTGTGTCCTTTGCGTGGCCGGGCGTGGCTGCCTTGCTCAGGCATCAGCAGGACATGTGTGAATAGTTAGTTACAGTGCTTCCAAACTGGAACTCTACATTTTGTATCTTACTTTTAAAGCTCCTATAAGTAAAATAACTATTGGCTTTATTAAAAATATACATTTAATAATATTTTGTATCTGTTTAAAATGAACTACAACAGACACCGTGTCAGAAGCCATGCCTGACTCATTACTTTGAAAAGCTGCGCCTGGGTTGGTTTTTCTGATTCTGAGACCTTGAAGGGAGAAAGACTAAGGAGCATAAGATAAACTGGGGTGGGTGGGCAGGAAGCAAGACAACCTACCACTCCTTTCCTGTCGGCTTCCCTAAGACCAAAACTGGGACAGGCCTCTGTGGGCAGAGTTCATATTGTGATGAAGGAGACCACCTGGAAGGATGCAGGCTGTCTCCTTGGGTTGTGGTCTGCCAGCACCCCCATTCCACCAAGGGTGGGTGCTGTCAGCTGCCCAGGCAGCCTTTCCAAGGAGCAGACCCAGGGATGAGATCCAATATGTGGGAAAGACCCTACCTCAGAGGGACAAGAAACTGTCCTGCTAAGCAGAAGAACAGATTATACAATGGGAACCAAAATGAGAAGGTGAGTTACAAAGGAATTTCAACTCATTTTCATTTACAGCAAGATAGCACTTGATGGAAACTTTTTCATGAACTTAGTAAAACAGTATGTGAACATTAATATATAACTTACTAATATAAGTACTACTTCGGCTTCTTTCTGCTGAGATGCCCTGAAGCTGAGCATGGGGACCAGGTCCCAAGCCTTCTAAGCGCACCTCAGGACAAGGTCGCTTAGTATTAGCCATGTTACACGAGTGTGTTAAGGAATACACTGGAAATTCATATTTAAAAGCTAGCTGGAAAAGCATCCAAGCGTGTTCCTATTTAACATGAATAACGGTGCTGTTCACTGACCTGATTCACAGCAGTGGTGGTGATAGGAGTCCTGTAGCCCCAGCTCAAGTGCTGGATGAGTAGGGATGAAAGATGAACAGATGTTACACCTGAGCCCCAAGAGGGTCCTTGGAGGCCTCAGCCCAGCTGAGAAATAGAGGAGGACACAGGCAGGTGAGCATCTTTGTGAGGCTGGTGATTACTACACGCTTGGGGGATCCTGGGAGAGAGGGACGTCCAACTCTAGAAATGTAGCTGAAATGCCACATGCCAAACATGATGCTGGGAGGGGATGGCTGTGTGCTGTGTGGCCCCTGTTGTGATCTGCTTCTTGATCTGGAGAAAAGAAAAAAACCATTCCAATGGCCAGCTTCTTGACTGCCAAAAGGCCCTGTATGTGGACAACATGCCTGGCAGGCTCCCAACCAGACGCACCTGGGAGTCTGAGGAACCTCCAGGGATAAGCTCCTGAAAGTAATGCACATAGCTGGCCTTACAATGATGCCACAGGGGTAGGCTGTCTGGGACGAGGCTTCCGCATATCTGTAAAGGGACTGGATGTGGCTTTTACTGGGACTGAGTTGGGAACATGGGCCTGAGGAGGAAGATTTGTTTTAGTAATGTCATGTGAATCCATTATTAAGTCTTAAAAACTTCCCTACCACACATAAGTGTGGGTTTCCACAAGAATAGAAAACTATATTTACTATTCATTTTAGTATTTACTAATGTCACCTAGTGTCAAGGCCCTTGCTAGGAGCCAGGGCTGCAAAGGAGATGCAGTCTTTTAGGGGAGACAGCCCCACCTTTCCCATCCTTGGTAAGAGGTACCACCATCCACTCACCCGGTTGCTCAGGCAGAAATCCTAGAAGACATTCTTGATTGTCTTTTCTCATTCAATAATCAGGAAGTCCTATAAGTGTATCTCCACACACATTTAAATTTCAACAAGTTCTTACATCCCCATTGCCATCAATGTGGTCTTCACCAGGCTCCTGCCTCTCCCTCTCTGGCCTCAGGGTTTCCCATACACTCCTGCTACCTTGACATCTTGCCTGGTGCCCACCTTCTTGTTGCTCCGGAGGCTGCTCCCTGCTTGCTCTCCATCCTCTTGAGTCAGAGCCCAGCATCCATCCAGCGTTTTTCAGAGGCAGGATAGCCTAGGAAAGCGACCCATCCCCCTACCAGGATACAGTTCTGGAATTTTTCCTTAGTCCTTTACTCCATTCTCTTCCTGTGGCTCTGGAATTTCTCCCTTGTCCCTTACTTAGCCCTCTCAATTTCGATTTCCATCCAGCACAGACTCCAGCTTGAGAAACAAGCCAAGGCCAAGAGATATAATAGATGACTTTGGGCTGCCTCCTCTCCTCCAGGTGGCAGGCTGGATAGCCTTGGGACAACACCCCCAAGGAAACAAAAGCCAGTAATTCAGACTGCTAGGGGCAGACTTCCTCTCTGAGCTGCCGGCACTTTTAAGTGTGTACTTTCGCTTTTAATAAAACTTGTGCTTTCTTGCTTGCTATTTTTCGTGCCCTTTTGAATTCTTTGTCGCAGCGTAAGACAAGAACTTGGTCAACAGAGCTCCAGGTCTGCGTCCCTCTTTGGAGTCCGGCCTTGTCGAGCTCTCAGGCATCAATTACAGCAATTAGCACTCCCCCTGGAATCGTGTGTTTGCATTTGTCCCTCACTAGAACCAAGGCTTCATGAGAGCAAGGACCAAGTCTTATTCATGGCCACATGTCCAGGGTGCAGAACAGCGAGAAGCAACTGGGGCCACAAGCAAATTATAATGCAAAGCAAAAAAAGCAGAACTATATTTAAAATGAAGTCTCTTGTTTCGGACTAAAAATAATACATGATGCCCAATTTGTACTAGAACTGCGAGGAGCTGACGTTAGAAATTGCGGATAAGACTATGTAGCCCTTTAGTAAGTATGAAGTTTTCTATTCTCATGGAAACTCACGCCTATTTGCGGTGGAGAAATTTTTTAAAAAGCCCTAACAATGGCTTCACACGGAAAACCTGGGAGCGACATCCAGCAGCCTCACGGCGACGTAAAACAAGCTCGGAGCCTCTTGGGGCTGCTCGTATTACTTTCGCGTGCGCACGCGCACGCCCGTCCCCACGCAGAGTATGCGCGCGCACATCCATCTCAGACGTGCGGACAGAAGCGTTTGCGAGCTCTCCCTGCAGCCCCGCTCCACACTGCATGCGCACACGGGGACATGCGCATACATGCACCCTGGACGTGCGAGCCTGCACGCAAACGCGTGCGCACTGCTGCCCCCAACCTGCCCTGATCCGCCTTCCCTGCGTGTGGACACATGCGCACCACTACTCGCATGAGTGGGTGCCAGCGCCAAGAACTATGCGGGCTCAGGGAGGCGCGGTCCCCTAACTCTCGCGTGTTCACGGTGACTCACCATGCCGGTGGGGGCGCCTCCGCGACAGTTCGTGAAAATGCTTGAGCGTGCATCTCCTCGCGCCCGGCCTCCCGCGGGCTTCTTCAACTCAGACCCAGAACTGCACCTCTCCGCTCCCAGTCCAGCTCCCTCCGCCTTTATCCTGTGATCCCGTGATCTCCAGGTCCTGCCCGATGCCTGTCTAGCAGCCCAAAATTAAGTCCCAACTTACCCAAATGCCCATGCTTCAGCTTCCCCATCTGTAGAACAGGGCTCTTGATTAGAACTGTTTCCTCGCTAAGTGCTAGTTTCCCCAGTATTCAGTGGAAGCTAATTGTTTTTCCAAGGCAACGCTAGGCTCTGAAATTAATCTCTAACAAGAGTTAAGACTCCCTGGATTTCCTAATTCACCTTCACTGTCATGTCCACTCTCCAATCCACTCCTCCCTCTGGGGCTAGACTTGCTGAGGGCCCTTGAAGCTCTCTTGAAATTTCTGAGCCAGGTTTTCTTTCGGTTGTGGTTACTTAGCCTCTTTTTGGGTGCATTAGACCACTCAGTTTCACTGCCCTTAAGATTCCCAGGATTCTGAACCCTGTACTCTGAGGTTTGTAGACCTGGCTTGGCACAACATAGGGTGCAGATTGTGGTGATGGTGGTAGAAACGGTAACTTTTGTCAGAATATAACATTATCTTACACTGACATTTTTTCACACTATAGATCCCACTCCATTCCCCAAGATTTGATCAGAGATGCCACCCTCACACTCCAGTGACTGATCACTGCAGTTTCCCTGGTGGGTTTCTCTCCCCTGCCCCTACACAGATTCCGAGACCCAAGTCAGTGCAGTGTTAATACAATGTTAAGGCCAGATTCTCCTACCTCTCTGTTTTTGCCATGCTTCTGTCCTTTCTGTTTAAGACACTATTCTTGGCCATTTCCACTTGTAATATTCTACCCTGTCAATCAGAGGCCTAACTGATATTAAAACAGAACTGGGATGATGGAGAAGAGCCAGGAAATGGCGGGCAGGACAGAGTTTGGTTAAGAAAATGGCTCAGCAATCAGACAACTGTGGGTGGATTCTCTACTTAGTAGCATAGTGTCTATGTTCAGATTTCTTAACCTGTCTGTTAAATGGGGAGGACAACAGGATCTCCCTCACAGGGATGCTGTGAGGGTTGCATAGGAGAAAATTTAGCACCGATCTCTGCACAGAGTAAACTGGTGGGAGTAGTAACCATGTCAGCTGGATGACAAATGGCTTTCAATTAATAATCTTTTTTGCATTTTCTCTCCTTAGCTACTGTGACTTATGGCCTTCCATGTAGAAACCTAGTTTTCTGCTAGTGTAGAAAATCCATGTAATTTTGGAATTCAAAGTACAGTGTTAAACCTAAAATACTATGGGGAAAATCTGGAATAGTTGAAGCTGATGGGAATCACAGAGGCCAAAGTGCTGAAGGTGTACATTAAAGAACATCAAAAAGACAAAACCTTCAAAAAAGCGATCATCAGAGGCCTCATCCCCTGCCTCTTCTTTGGTACCCGAAGCTTTGGGTTTTGGGTGGACAAGAGAGGATATTGGAGAAGACAGTGTGACAGTGGGCAGGTGAAAACCCATAAAATCTTTGAAAAGACCTGGAAATGACAGCTCAGCTCAAAACAACATCAACACTAAGAGAAATCACTGATTTGTGTACCAGACAAGAGATGGCCCAGCCCTTGGAACTTGGGCCCTATGAGCTTCACTCTGGCATCTCTGGCAGTCATTCTCTTCCATGTTTTCCTTGAGACCAGGGACTGAACCTCAAGTTTGTCATTTCAGAAAGGCTGGCTTAACCCTACAAAAAGCTGAGAGTTTCTGCTGCTGGCACCAGGGTCCTAGAAATGGACCGTGTTTGGCTGGCTTAGGTCATGTGCTCATCTCTGATGCAATCAGGGAGGTAGAGGAAGAAACGCAAGGATCAGAGGTAGTGGTTTTGGGCAAAGACAAGAGATGTCCACCATAGTGTCCAAAAGAGCCAACTAGAAAAAATGAGTCAGTGTCTACTATTGAGCTAGAAGTCAAGCAAGGAATCATAGGGCAAGTGGATGATGGTGCAGTGGCTACTAAGACTGACCTTCCTATTGGATGAGGTTCTGTTCTAAAATGGGGATTAGGAGC